TCCCTGTTTGAATGTTTTTGCTGCGTCACTGACTTATCGAAACTCTATGTACCTTTCTCTTTCCAGGAACAAGAAGATGTGTACCCGTTCACGGCCACGCAACTCATTATACTGCTACTGTTCATATTTGGTATCTTTTTCGCGCTGATAATGTACTGCAAAACCTGTTCCAGGTAGGAATTATCAAATTCTCTGTAGTCGAGTGAAAACCCGAGTGAACTGTGAGAGCGGATGATAAATTGAATATTTGCGTGAGAATGAACCCACCCACCGACGTTCGAGGGTCGAGGCAAACGAACGAGTATATTTTTGAGAAACTGAGTTTAAGTCTGACCCTTAAGCTTTTACAGATCCTATCAGGAGAGATTCTTGGAGGAAAGAGAATGTCGCGGCGAAGAGAATGAGGCTAATTCGTTGCACAATTCGTATTACACAATACAAGAATCCAGAGACAGGCCGCCGTCTTACAGCGAAGCCTGCGGTGCTCCTCCCCTTTACGGATCACCTTTCAACAGAGCAAGTCGATGCACAGATTTAATGGTGTTATTTGAAAACTTCACTTCTCAAACGTAGCGTAATATAATGGAACTGTGATTTTTCAGGCGTCTATGCTAGAGCCACCGCCGGTTTACCCAGACACCCCCAAGCTACCGGACAGGGGGCGCGATCAAGGTCCTCCGGTGAACTGTCACATGTGACGGATAGAAAGGAGCCCCGGGCGATTTGTACAAATGTTTCCAAGAACGATCCCCTACTCGACTCACTATCATGGCGAATAAACAGAAATGACTATTCAGTTCTAGTTGCTCTTTCATTGTTCGTTCGCTGGCGAAGAAAACGATACCGGTTTGTTTCTTTATTTGGGGGATAAAATGAAGAAAAGTCAACCGTAAAAGTTCACATGATTATATAATGAAAATGTCATTTATTTGATGTGGTGCAATGACTTAAAGTAAAATGGAAAAATGAACGTTTCTTGTATGAGCTGGGTTCGATGAACAGCCGTGCGCCGTGTACTCCGTGGAGCTACCACTGCTGAACTATTCAGTTACAAAAAAGCTTTTTATCGTCAGGGTTTAAATGCAATGTACAACGGAAGTGGTGTGTATCAGACAGCAGCGCAGTAGTAGCTGGCGCGACGACACGAGGGCACCGCTGATTTCCATGATGAGGTAACACTTGTCTTACTTGTACTTAGTTTATCAAATTATCCAGTCATACGCTCATGCAGATTGGTTCGAAGAATTGCATCTAATAACTGCTTTTTTTTTTATACTTTTTTTCATATTTTTCTC